ACAGTGTCGAAAAGCCTGCCTGCTCCTTTTCCGTGGATTGTGCACCTGAACAACCCACATCATTTCGCGCACACCGCGCGCACGTACGCATATGTATCACAGATTTCGGCGAAAAGGGGAGGTGGACTTCACTCTCAGACACCATTGTGATTTCTCCCTGAAAAGGATTGTAGTCCCAATGCCGAAGCAGACTGCAGCCCTTACCATGGGTGACATGCTGAACTGATTGTACGACAGGGTCCCACCATCCATCGAAACCATCAAAGAGTCCTGAGATGTCCTGAGGTATGCACTGGCGGCAGTGTCGGCGCCGATTTCCGGAATCTCAGCCGAAGCTCCTACCGAAGCAGCCACCTTGGCAGAACCGAGCACGAGCAACAAAACAAGCAAACTTCATGAGCAAATATGTCCATATGGAGGAGTTGTTAAAAGGCTCTTCATAAAAGTACTGGGTTTGTGCAGAGGTTCTGGGATGAGGATGGCTCAAGGTTCAGGGTTTCGGGATGTTTCGGGGGCTGGGATCGTAGGAATGGGATGCCCAGTTTTGGCACCATGGCTTCGCCCGACGAATTGATCCGCACTTCACCGAGACGAATACGGAAGCGTCTCAGTCGCCCACGCTCATCTGGCCCTCTCGCAACAACTGCTGTCGCTTTTGGGAGCGAGCCTGCACATGCGCCATGTCGTGAAGCGTTCGAAGCAACATTCTGACAGTAGAGGCCATTCAACATGACAGCCGACACGTTTGCACATGACCTCCAACGCTTCCAGGTAGTTCTTGATTCTGTCTCGGTTGTCTTTCCTGGCTGCTGCATCAAGATCAACCATGAATGTCTGTTGAGGTTCAGAGAAGATGGCGCATGTGTTTGTGGAGCCAGGAGTCAGATTGATCTTGGCGCTCAAAAACCCATCACGCGCCATGGCAATGAATGGATTCTCCAGGCGGAACACCGTGTTCTCTTTCAGGAACTCCATGGCAATTATGTTGCCTGGATGTGCGCTTCTCTTACAACATGCAAAGACAATGACACAGACAAAAACGACGGGCACTCACAGACAAACACAATGCTCATATACGCACTCGCACAGGCTGATCAAAGAGTTGAAGAGGAGAAAATCCGAATCACTGATGCACATCCATGCGCGTGCGGCCCTGTAGGCGGATCCAACGGCGGCGCCGTGACGAAAAAACCATCGTGAGCACTGATGCGTTGAACTTGTCGAAACTCACTGCGCAGGGAGAACTGCTTGACGTTTGTGCTCGAGGTGGTTTGTTGCTGATGGGATGACAGGCCTAGATGGGATCAGGGCACCTCACTGCAGGATACTGCAGGTACATATGACAACCTCCAAGCCCATTTTGGCCCCCTGCAAAGGTGACTGGTGCAAGTGGCAGTTGAAGTGGGTGCCAGTTTGCAGATATACCGGAGGAAGGCTCATGCGTGGAAATGACACGCTGCGCTGTAAAGTTAAGCATGTCGGGCAGTTCGCATAGCCAAGAGAAAGCAACAGAGAGAGAGGGCGCGAAACAGGACAGAGAGCGAGATACAGACACAGACACAGACATAGACACACACACACACACACACACACACACAACAAAGAACACGCACGCGCGCACGCGCGCAAACAAACAAAGAGCCAAGCAGGCAAGCAAACAAACAGCAAACAAACACAAACACAAACACAAACACAAACACAAACACAAACACAAACACAAACACAAACACATACACACACACACACAAACAAACTCAAAAGACTGCCACAACATTGGTTACCAGCCACTGCCATCAAGCCACCGTTGTTCCGGGCATCCAAGTTGTCTTTGCCCAAGCTAACAACTGCATTCAGCACCTGGCAGTTTCAGACACTTGGTGCCGGGAGCTCTTGGGTTTATGTACACTCTTTAACTAGCTCAAAAGAGCAGCAAAAGTCACTAGACTGAACAGAAGAAGGGCAGCCGCACAGGTAGGATAGAGGACGATGATCAGTTCGTACAAAAAACAGCTTAGAATCCACCGAATGCCGAAAGCCTGATGGAGAAGGGCTTTGGACAAGGAATCAGGATCAGGAAAAACATTTACTTGACTTGTGCGCAAGGCTGTGCCGTTGGGCGGGTAAGCAGCTGTCACTTGTTGGTTCACTGTGTCCAAGCGTATTGCCCCAAATATCCCCAAAAGCATCATGAGAGGGGTGAGTTGAATACAGAAACTGGGACCTCAAGAAACATCTTCCTCAAGTAGCTTTAGTAGGTGTCCCCACCATCTCAATTGGACAGTTCTGTATGCGTCATTGCGTGCGGCCCTGCTTCTTTCTGAATAGGATGTCATGTTTCCTGATATGCGTGTTTCGAGGGCCTCTAGAAGAATTAATTTCGTTTGCACGCACAAGCGCCTTCAGTGCATCCAAGGAAACCATCGGCCGAGCTGTTAGGTTCTCCTTTAACACCTCCATCATCTCCCGCACAAAGGATGGCAGGACATTGTGAACAGCATCCTGATTGTCCTTGTAGATGTTCACAAGCAATGCAGAAATGCCCATGTCCTCATAAGCCAAAGACTTCACCAGGAACTTGAACACATCAGGTCTGAGAAAAATTTCGCGATACATGGGAAGTAGCTCGGTAAACGCTTGCAAGAATTTGACCGCGACGTCAAAGGTGTTCTCCCTACGTCGAGACTTCTCGGTAACCTTCTCAGCCATGATGGAGTCTCGCAAAGGAGCTGAACTCCGTAAGAAGCTGAGCACACGCAAAGCGAGGAGCTCCACGCGATGGTACTTGAGCAAATGTCCATCCCCCTGCTTACAAACTGAAGTGAAGTGTCGGAAAAGCTTTGCTAGTTGGGCCTTCTCTTCCCGAACAGGATACAATTGTGTCAACCGCAAGCGCAGTGTGATCTCGGAATCTTGCTCAGGCGACAGCTGTGAGGGATCCTCTTCATTGAAACATATAAAGATGCGGGTTGCGCCGTACACCATGTCTTCATGGATCTCAATTGCAACGAGTCCGGTGTCCACCGTCTCGTTCTCCGAACCCTCACGTGTCACGGGCTTCCATCGTGTGCCGACCATTCGCCGCAAGTGTGTCGTTGTGTTGCTGTAGAAGGAGTTGAAGGCCTTCTGGGAAGCCACATGGGCACCCCGGACAAAGTGCGCCGACTCGATGAAGGCTTGAGTCAGGGACACATTTACGCACCATGTAGAGGACTTCTTGGGGGGTATTGGCAGCTTAAAGGCTTTGAGCTTGGACAGGTATTCTGATCGGAAGTCCAACGCGCTTGTGCAAAAGCACGAGTTCCAGCCGCTGTAGATCATCGTGGGCTCTTCCTCTCCAGGGCTCTTGATGCAATATTTGTCCCCAAGAACATCATAGCTGATGTCCACTACGAGTGAGTTCTCGTCAATCTTTGTGTCCTTTGGCGAGATCAGAAGCCCTTTCCCACGGCGAGGTCGGCCTTGATTTAGCTTCACGATCTGCTGCAGGGATCCCAAGACGACACACGGCACTGATCCTTCCTCCACCTCTCTGTCGATGCAGGCCGTTCTATAGCCATCGACATATATGAAGAGCTTTGGGTTCACCCCCGTGTAGTCCAGCTCGATACCAACACAGCTACCCTGAAAAAAACCTCCGAATGTGTCGTTGATTGCCTGGCCGCGAATGTAGAGCTGACCCAGTTCGTCGCAGCCAAAGAACTCACTTGGCGGTTTGAAGCGATTCATCTTCACATCCGCCTCCTCCTTTGGAGGCAACCACCCAGCACCCAGAACTCCAATGAAAAGTGGGCAGGGCCGATTCTCGTCATCGTCGTCCTCACCTAAGAGACTTGTGATGATTTTTTTTTTACTTGTGATGATTTTTTTTTTTGGGGGTGGGGGGGGGGGGGCCCTGTGGTTTGGGGTGCGGAGGGGGGGGGGGGGGGGGGGGGCGGGGGGGGGGGGGGGGGCGGGGGGGGGGGGGGGGCGCGGGGGGGGGGGGGGGGGGGGGGGGGGGGGGGGGGGGAGGGGGGCGGGGAGGGGGGGCTAGAGAGCGGGCTGCAGCTACCTTTTCACAGTAAAATGTACGGAGCGCTTGTGAAGGCTGCAACTGAGATGCCCGGGGTTGCCGACTCCCTCTTTGGCAAGCTTTTGACCTCAAAGTCAAAGTTCAGCATGCGAGCATCGCCTTGGAGATTTGTTGCCGCCATCCGAACAACTTGCTGACGGGCTTGTTTCCGGTCTGCGTACTCCAGCAGGCGATCAGCTTTGTCCTTCAGCTCCACCTGTGGGCTCTGTAAATCGTCTTCGTTCCAGTCATTGGCTTCGAACTGCTGTGAGTAGTGCTCCAACCCCTCCCTGTCAGCAAAGCTCTGTTCCTCTCGCATGTTCTGTTCTAGCTGGTTGATCTTGTCAATCACCTTGTCGGCCTCCTTCACCCACGTTTCCAAGGAGTTAAACTTCTCAGCATCATCCATGTCAAGCAGCTCCAGGCGATCTATGGCTTCGAGGAAGTCTTTTCGGCGGCGGCACAAGCGTGCAAGCAAACGAACTGCTTGAATGGCCAGACGTGCGTCAGGCAACGAGACAAAGTCAAGCAAGACAGTCACGAATTCCGCCAGATTGCGTGCAGCGTCTGACACTCCAACCTGCTCTGCTTCCCATGGCAAAGACGGCTTTCCCAGATCTGCCAGCACCTTCTCCACACTCTCGCACTCTTCGATTTCAAAGCTGGTAATGCTTTTTGCTGGTGCGTTCTCGTTTACCGCCACGCCGCTAGCCCCAACTTTTTTGCGGATGGAAGGAGGCAGGAACTCGAGAAAGCCGGACATGAACTGAAGGATGTTCTCATTCACGGACAATGCGCAGCATTGATTTATGACGCGACAAACATCTGCGAGACCTGCAACAAAGAGAGGTGTGGTGACGCTACGGTGTGTCCGTTGCAGCCTGTGCATGAGCGTGAAGATGCTGACAAGGTGATCTATTTTGTAGATGTTCGCATAATCTTTCGTCAAATCACCAGCATTGCTGTGATGCATCCGAAAGCGCTCGAAATAACCCAAGCCAATCAGTTTGCTCAACATCTTGCTGAGCGCGCTGATCAAGGCGCTCATTGCATCCGTAAACGCGATGGGTGGCTTGGGCATTGGCTTGTTGTTGAACATGCACATGTTCTCGCACAGGTCAGCAAGTGATGCTAGCTGCCAGGAGCACATATGGCAAAGAGATTGAAGCGATTGGCTGGCAAGGACGAGGTTGGATCCGGCTTCGTCGTACACGGTATCGTCATCATCGGCTCGCCGGCCATCAAGGTACACAGACTTGATAATGGTGCTACGACGCTCCTCGTCGGAGAACGGGGGCTGGCCCAAAAACCCGTAGAGCAGAAGGAAGGTGTGTGCACAAAGCCCTGCCAGATCACTGATGTCACCCAGGTCACGCGCTTCTACGTTCGGGTCGGCCAAGGCACTCTGGAGCAGCTCCCCGGGTGGCACAAAGCGGAGGCCTGCGTTCATCAAGGTTTCCTGTTGCACCAGCTGAGCCTTCACTACCGAGTCTGGAATGTGTCGCGAGAGCAATGCCGCGCTGGCTGTATTCCGGTCAGCACAGAGATGGGCCAGCAGGTTCACCAGAGCAAAGTACAAGGAACGTTCTAAGGACACGTTGTCTCCCACATGCTGAGTCACGTCATCGCTGTGCTGACCACAAGCATACCGGGGTGGCTGCACACGTTGTTGATTCCACAAAACTCTTGGAATCTTTACGCCTTCAGCAAGTTCGAGGTCGGGATCGTGTGGGTCAAAGACGACCAAAGTGCCGACTGTCAACAGCACAAAGCGATCTTTCATGTCAGAGAACTGCTGCAACGTCTTCTTCTCACCCTTATCCCCTTTCTCTCCACTGCGCCTTGGGAGTCAAAATGCCGCTAGGGCAGTTGGTGCCGTGTCATGTTGCAAAGCTTGCAAAGTCTGCAAAGGATTGACTGCCAAGCACGCACGTAGGAAACTACTCACAACTAGCTGATGAGCCCAGGCGCATGGTTTCAGATGTGAATGGCTGAGCAGCCATTTCAGCCCAAGCGTTGTCACTACACTCGGGCTCTGGTCGGCGACGAGATGCTGCCGCCTCATTAGTCACAAGAAGCTCCTTGGCGATGAGATCTTGTGTGACCCGGACGGCACGACTGTCCTTCCCAATGCACAAGCTGGCCAGTACCCGCACCACGCTTTCCACAAATGGGACATGATAATAGTTATCAGCCGCCAGGTTCGCGGAAACTTCCGGATCCAGGGATTTCATGTATGTCTGTGTGTCCATGAAGCGACGTCGTCGGGTGAACAGCTTCCAGAAGACGTCCATCAACACACGCACGCCACCGAGATTGAGCTCGGGGTCGCCCAGCTGGCATGTTTGCAAGAACTGCTGAAGCACTCCGTCGAAATTCCTGGTCGGGTTCTTAGCGCTCACTTTGGCACAGGCACAGGTCCCAAAGAAGATGATCAATGAGGACATGTGCTACCTGCATACGGGTTGTCTATTCCGCTTGTGCTTGATTCGGTCCGATGGTTTGTGCTGGCCCTACCATTGACCATGTTCGTCTTTTTTTTACTGTGGAACAAGAGATCCTACTTTGGTCTTTACCGGTACATTTCCAGAGTGTCCGGTGCGCTTTCGCCGCATCTATCTCTTCCGCAAGGCCGGCAGGGATGGGGCGAACGAAGGCCAGCAGCATCAAGTACCTGTGGTTCGCAGTGATCTCTCTAGTTTGCACCTTCTGCCCCAGGGCTGCTCTCGATGCCACGACTAAGCTTGGCACAGAGTATTGCAGGACCAGCGTGTAAGCTGCTCGCTTGCATGCCCGCTGCCTTGGCTGCTCAAGACGCGTCTTGACAGATCTCAGTGTCAATGAGTTATAATACTAGAACACGATAATGCAATCAGGCTATACTACTATTATACCATAATACTATCATACTTTCATACCTTCATACTACCATGCTACAATACTTCAATGTGCCATCGGTATAGTAGTAGAGCATGTCCGAAAGCATGTCGGGCGGCCGGCTCTGGCCAGTTCAAAGTGTCTGTTTTGCGCTTTTTTTCTCACACTTGACACACTTGAAACTTGAAAGCAAGAGGTTTCTTGATTACGCAAAGATTCGCAAGCTTAACCCAGCATACTTTATTCCCAGCCCACGCACGGTCCCCTGGATCTAACCACGCACTCAGTTTGCATCCTTTCGGCATAGTCAAAATGATCCAAACCCTAGTTGGCTCCGAATTCGCTTGGTTTGGGAGTCACAGAAACAACCCAAATCGGCTTGGTTTGGGTTATTGCGGCCTAGTCTTAGTGCTCCAGAAACTCAATCTGCTTGGTTGGGGTCCTGGCGGCCTAGTCCGCGTGCTCCAAAGACACGATTTGCTTGATTTGTGTCTTGCGGCCTAGTCAAAATCAGGGGGAACCAAGCGTCCTTGAGCAAGCGAGGTCCTTTCTTAGTACTATTGATAAGAAGATTT